ATTTTTTCTTTTGTAGACAATTTAAACAAATCTATAAGTCAAATTAAAAAGGTAGTCCATTCTCTTTAAAGAAAAAATCATTGTTAAGAAATTAAAATATTAGATTAAAGGTTGATAGTCCGAAATCTTTAAAATACAATAATAGAAGTGAGATAGTCCATTCACTTTTATAAAAAAATACAAAAATATAAGTTAGCACTCTTATCAAATTATATAAAATATGAATCTTGAGGGACCAAAAACTCAATACACTCTTGTGTAACTCAAAAAGAATAGATATTTATTCAAAATTAATATAATATTAAAACAATAAATACTATTGCTAAAGAAAAAAAGACTAAGAAGTCTTGAAACAAGACTAAGGACTAGAAAGGCATTGACAAGAGTTAAGAAGACTTTACACTTACTTCCATATATACTATTTAACTAGAAGTTATGCAAAAATGTTTTATAGGATCTTTGATACATGTCCAACTTACAAGACATGTGTCTAACTCATAAGACTAATTTCCAATACATACCATGTAGTTAGCTTATTCCACATACTAGAAGCTTATACAATACATAGCTAATTGTAGGCCAAGTTTCTAATCTACCAATTAAAAAATAAACACATCTAAAGTCAATACATATCTATAAAGCTTTTGAAAAGCTTTTCCATAAGATAATATCAAATCTACCTACATTTAACTTTTATCTAATATTTCTTATCTAGATATATATATAGATATATATATATATATATATATATATATTTGTGAGAATAATAAAAAATTGGTGACAAATAAGATTACAACATATATGACAAAGATTAATAATACGTTGTTGTATTACGTGTTGTCTTGCTTGGGAATGCACCGGGCACCTAGCTGTGGAAGGTGAGATTGTGTTTTAAAAGTATCCAAGAAATCCTAATAGGTTTTATCCATATGAAAAGAATATAATCTGAATTTCAATTCAAAAGTGCTAAAAAAACTCTTCATAGTAGCCTTGATCATACATAAATCCCAATTATCTTATTACTTTCATATTTAAGTAATTTAGATTTTTCTTGTAAGCTCTTATCCTAATCAATGAGCTTTAATAAGCTGTAACATTCAATCCGAAATTCCACTTGATGTAAAATTTTGCATACAATTGTCAATGTAAGTCTTCTATATGCTCAAGAATTTTTAGTCCAATTCAACTTACAAATTGTGAGAAAACCTCCAAAAATTGCACTGATGTCACTTGGCCATCAACTTGAAAAGTGAAGTAGAAATTCCAGTAGTGATTTCTCCCTTTCCAATTGTTAACTTTGACTCAAAATTGGTGTGCACCTTTATCATCAAGTCTTTCAATACCATGCCAAATTTCACCTTGATCCAATTGATATATCTCCAAATATCATAGAAATCCTACTGAACTTCAAACTGCCAATTTCCAAAACCCTCTTATGCTAAAAACTAGATATCTCTAAACCACGTTGTTAGATTATCACAAAATTTTGTATACACTTAGCACACCCAATAATCCAAACAATATCAAATTTTCAACTATAGATGTTATACCAATTGCACGAACTAGCCAAAATTGCTAGCCCTAATTATATTATATAAAACCCAAATCACCAATACAAACCCTGACTTTGAATGACAATTGCTAAGTCCTCAAAAACCCTCCAAAAACAATCCTTATGCCTTTGAAAAGGAATTCAAGCTAGCTTTAAAATACTATCCTCTGATCTTCAAATGAATTCCTATTTTGTCCTAGGCCATCATTTTTGTGGCCAAAGGTCTGATTTCGACCATGTCTCACAAACGGCCAACCCCCAGGTATCAATCCAACCTATCTTAAGGATTTTTTAGCCCAATCTTATTCTCAACTTAACCCTAGTACCAACTATACTAATTATTTACCTCTTTTAACTTGATTTTATCAATTTATGGTCTTTCTAAGGTAATAGAAGAGTCTCTACAATCTAGAAGGTAAAATTACTAACTAATTTTCAACTTACTAACTATTAAGATAACAAAATAACCTAAGAGGCTTTTATAAAAGCCATGTTTAGATACCTCAAATTACAATTGAACTAAGATAATTAGATATTAATTAGAAATTTAATTTTGATTATAATTTCACTATATAGTTGTATTACATCATGACAATGTCAAATCTAACTTGTATATGGAAATTAAAGTGTAACAAAATTAAACAATATAATATTAATTAATTAAATATATCATTAATTAAAATCAAATAAGGTATTATAATATAAAATTAATCAATCAAGAATTAGGTACCAATAAGTAGATATATTAATAGCTAGATACTCAATTATAGAAATTTAGTCATGCCTAGGATAAATAAAGTTGTAACAACATCTATCATGAGGCTAAATCTTAAGGTGTTGCTTGACAAGGCCAAAGTAGCATGCCACACCTTAATAGGATTTGTTAGCTTGTTGATAAAAAAAAACTTATAAAGATGTCAAGTATCATAGATCTAAATTAAAAACTAAAAGAGATTAAGATAGACTAATATCTAAGCTGTATTGAATGTTGTATGAATTATATAAATCTATTACAAATTTTATTAAAAAAATTATTAAAATTTCTTTAGATTTTTTGATATATGGCATTATAGTTCTAAACCTAATAAGAATTATAAAATAAAATAAAATAAAATAAAATAAATCTATTAAAAATAAAAATTTAATAAGCTTATTTTAAGATGATTTCATTAGAGATTAATACTATATTAAATTATATTACTAAATTATCAAAACTTATATCAAATATGATCAAGTTTTTTTCTACAAAAAATGAACCAATAGTTCTTTAATATATACAATAGTATTTTAATGAACTACTTGAAGTGTATACTTATAGGAAGAAAAAAAAAATTAAAAATTTTAAAAAATAAAAATCTTTATATCTTTGTGCATAATCATATAAATGTCAGTTGAAATATTAATTACTAAAAACAGCATATAGAAGCTTCTAAAGACTACAAGGCTTATAAATCAAGCCTCTAAATTATATCATACTTTTGTAATGGCTTCTTAAATGTGAAAAATTTCTAAGAAAAGTTTTAATAGCTACATGGCATATTCAAGATACTACAGATTTAAGCTAGATTTTTATTTAAAAAAAATAATATATTTTATTACAGATATTATCTATCTTAATTTTATTATTTAATTTTGTATACTAAAATAATGTTAGTATGTATGGTGATAATAAAAGCCATCATATTATTTTGTATTTAATCATTGTATAATCAAATAAATATCATGTGAGGTGTTTCGTTCATTTCACTATTATTGTAATAATTTTAAAAATAAAAATAAAATAAAATAACGAATAAATAAACAAATAAAACTTGTGATGGAAATTATAGTAATAAATGAAATGGATATTAAATGTATACATAATATTTTACATTATTTCTTAAAAAAAAATTGTGATGTTAAATAAATTAGACTGAGTAACTTACAAGATTTGTAGCATTTTAATATAAAAATTATAAACATACATGTAATATATTAAAAATAAAATAAAATAAAATAAAATAACGAATAAATAAACAAATAAAACTTGTGATGGAAATTATAGTAATAAATGAAATGGATATTAAATGTATACATAATATTTTACATTATTTCTTTAAAAAAAATTGTGATGTTAAATAAATTAGACTGAGTAACTTACAAGATTTGTAGCATTTTAATATAAAAATTATAAACATACATGTAATATATCGGTAGAAAATTCGTAAAAATTCAAGCTTTGAATTCTATAGGACATTATTTGGTCCAAATTTATGAACTACTAATTACAACAATACCAACAACTTCTAACAATCAAATATGACAATCTCTTTATTCTTAAGAATGTCCAAAAAGTTGTATGATATATTAGATTGAAGATAATGATCATCTTATGGTATTTATGCAATGAATAGATAATAATGAAATACATATTTAAGTCATTTAAAGCATATTAAAAAATATATAGAGATAATAATATTTACAAACAATTGATGTTTTATAAAAAAATATCAATTGATAAAACATGCCAATAAATAGAAATATGATAATTTTTAATTTAATTTTTAAAAATGGATACAAAAGGACCAGAATTAGAAAGGAAAATCCAACATTACTCAATCAAATAGATATATAAATAAAATAAAATAAAATAATTTTTTTCTGACTTTTATAAATATCATCACAACAATGTTTGAAAAGTCACATTGCTAAACATGAAGCCTCATCACCAAGAATTCACTCCCTGACAAAGACCAGCAGACCAGCAATGCTCACACAAAATATGATTGGAGCCTTAATTAGCAACAAATAATGCACACAAAGGGAATATTCTCAGGTCACCACTACATACTGAAACACGACTGGAAAAAAAATCAGAAAACGACAACAAACAATGAAATAATGTCACAATCGAGTCCAAATTGAATTGTAGAATGATATCATGCTATCAAGACCATTGGGTATAAGTGGAACCCTGCACCAAGTCTTCAGCAAAAGCCCAAAAAGTACTTTATGGACTGGATAAGGTACGCAGACACGGATATCGTTAGATGGATAGGGGTGAGTTAGTGTTCGATAAAGCCGACGAGGGCGTGAACATTCATCTCACGAGGCCGCAGCCCGTCCGCGGCGGGGCAGCTGCGATGAAGCCGCAGCGAGATGGAGGTGCTCACGGCGCCTACGACTCGTCGCCCCCACGAGCAAAAACAATTGCGCAGGCGGATCTGGAACGCAGGATGGATGCGATGCGAGAAATATCTGGTCAAGGCGCAAGCTCTGCGCGGAGCTTGGCCTAGCGTGTTGCGAAGATTCGGTTGCTCTACTCACCCAAGTGGTGGAGTTTCGGGATTACACTTACCACCGTCCTGGAGTCTTAATCGAACGGAGATTGCTTGTTCAGCATCGGAATTCTCGGTACCTTTTTCCCTGTCTGCCCCACTGTCATGCCGTGTTAAATCGTTTCCGAGCGTGGTCGGTCAGTTCCTTTCGTCGGAAAAGAGCTGTGCTGTACAGTTAATGGATCGGATTCGGTGTCTTGGGAGTGGTTTGTGCTGTTCTGCGTGTTGATATGAATCATACAGGGGGTTGGAGTTGCCCAATCGAGTTGTGACGAGTTTTGTTTTGTGTCGTTTTTACTTCGATCTTGGGTCAGTCCGTTGCTGTTCGGGTTTGTAGTTGCGGACAGCGGAGAGGCTTCGCGTAGAGGGTCTTCTCTGCTGGTGCGCGACGCTTACAAACTTGCTTTGTTTTGGAAACTTATGTAGCGTGTCGCATTTTCAATTTGGTCTTTCTCGACTTGTGGGTTCAGTCTTGTGATTGTGACTGAGATGGTTGGCGGTTTTCTCTGAGTCTTCAGGTTAGTGAGTTGGATCATTCCACGTCACTGCAGGGTACCACGAAATTTGTCTTGTAGTTATTGAATTCCTTGGAAACAGCATCAGTTGCAATGTCTGCATTGCTCTTTCTGGCTACGAATGTAGAATGTGGTGTGTAAGTCAATGATTAGGCTTGTGGGATTTGCTTAATTTGTGGTCTTTCTGAAGATTGCTTGATGATAAGTTGTTGTTTTCTCTATTAGTTGCTGTAACGAGCTTACATTGAGACCCATGCCAGGATTTGATTCTGGACCTATATCTGGATTTCTCTGCAATTGCGAGTAGAGTCCATCAAAACTGAACACGTTTTTCCTGTGATTTAGGGTGATTTAGAGAACGAAAACAAGGACTCATGGCGGACGAAAGAGATCGAGAAGTTGCCGAGCTGGAGGAAAATGTTAGAGAAGTGACGATTAATGACAGAGGGTCGAGGGGGGAAGAGAATGAAGACAAAGAGGGTGGTGGTGGAGTAAAGGGGTTCTTCAAGGGTGTTGCCGAAGCCGTCGGGGGAATTTTCAGCTGGGGTGCGCCCGATGCCGACATCACGGGGTTTACCCTTCCAGTCATCAACACTAAACGCGCTGAAGTCATCATCGACGTTCTCATCACCAATCCTAACCCCATTCCCATTCCTCTCGTAGACATGATCTATGAAATCTCAAGTGATGATCGCAAGCTATGTTCCGGTACGATCCCAGATGCTGGTACAATTCGTGCTCATGGCTCGGAGACCATCAAGATCCCTCTTGTTTTGATCTACCGAGACATCGTCGACACCTTTGACGACATCGAACCCGGTCAAGTGATCCCCTATCTTGCTAAGGTATGTCGGTTGCAGTTTCTCGCTACATACCTGTCGAAAGATTACCCATGCTGAAATGCGGGTCTTTTTTCAGTCGAACACATAAATGGTTCCCCTCATTATTTTTGTCCTTATTGATACAGGTCACGCTGTTGGTCGATGTTCCGGTCATTGGAAGGATTACTATCCCATTGGAGAAGAGGGGAGAGATTCCCATTCCTCACAAGCCAGATGTGGACTTGGACAGTATTGACTGGGATCATCTGTCTCTCGAAAGTACTTCCGCTACTTTGCACTTGAGCCTCAAGAACATGAACAAATTCGACATTGGTAACCTCACACACTGTCAACCCTTTCTGCCGCTCCTTTTTTCACTTTTTTCCTTTCAAATTCACAAGTGTGTTTCGTTGCATCAGCGACCTCAACTGAGAATTAAATGATTGCTTCAAATGAATTTTTGTAGGGATCAAGTCATTCGAATATGATCTGCAGCTCGGAGATGTATCTATTGGAAACGCGAGCCTTGGGGAGGCAGTTTCAGTGAAAGGTGAAGATGTTGGGTCCCTAGAGGTGCCTATTACCTTCCGACCCAAAGACTTCGGCGGTGCTCTATGGGATATCATTAGAGGAAGGGGCACAGGTTACACTATGGTAGGAGCTGTTGAGGTTGACACTCCATTTGGGCCCATGCATTTGCCGTTTAGCAAAACTAGCGAGACGACATTGAAGGGTAAAGCTGACGACGAGTAGATAACAAGTGGTTTCTCAAGCTTTCCTCGAATTCCATGTCTGGATGTTAACGATCCAGGGAGCGACATCACCTCCTCCACTACACGCTTATCTTGAGCCGAAGATTGATTTTTTTGGTCATGTTTTGGTGATGGATTTAGGGGATGAAAGGCCAATGAGCTTAGAGGTTTCAGGAGTCTCCTAGGAGGCGGTGGCAGTCAGCTTGATCCACCAGATGCACCATAGCCATTGTCATAAGCTTGTGTCGCCTAGCAAGTAAATCTTATGTAACATCTGTTTCTTTCATCTGTATCTATGTAACATTGTCCTTCACTCCTCCATGACACAAAGCTGGACACTATTGTAAGGTACCTCATGAGTAATGAGTCATGGCTTGGCGAAGACCAGATGTGTGTATACTGCTTCTCCGACTGACCTGGGAACTGCTGAGGGTTTTACTGATAGCAGCCGGGTGTATCTTGTACTGCAATTCTACAATTGAGTAATGTGCAATAAAAATTCAGTACTGTAGAAAAGAAAAGGAAAGGAAAAACGATCTGCTGTGAGCATCCCCACATGTTAGCTTCGGTTCTAATAACAGGGGGAAAACTGGCAATGGCTCTAAAACTGTCCTTTACACGTATACACCTGCCCAAGCCTTCTGATGAATTCCCACACGTTCCGTCTAAAGTTTAGGCTCCAGAGCTGTGAACTGTAATGTACCAAGCTCTACTACCTGAAACTATTTGTTGACAAATATCGTTGCACAAGTTACACACTCAAATATATTATTCCGTGATTTTAAACGCAGGTGATAATTGAAGAGTAGTCGGAGAACAGATATCGACATGTTAGCATAATGGAAAAGGGGTGATATCGATTACGGTAGAGAAGCACAACGGTCTTTGTAAATTCTTACCATCCGAATACAAAACTATATCTTCTACTGTTCAAATTTTTCCATCGTCTGTGAAATCCTCGCCCCTCGCAATTGAGCAAGGTCCACTTCTTTCCATGTGGAACTCATTAAGGCAGTGCTTCGAACACCACTTGGAGTAAAAATATTTCTTCTTCTACAACCCACAGGTGTACTGTTTGAAGCATGAGGTTGTCTGCGGAGAAACAGTTCTGCTGTTGAGACGAATGGAATTGAAGCTGGACGGCGGCACTTATTCACGAAGTGACAGATGTACATTGGAGACCACCCACCGCGCAGGCAGGACAAACCTACCGGGTGCATCTTGAAGCGTGGCTGACACATTGATTAACGTGTGACGAAAACTACATAGTTACCACCCCAATCTTATTCGCATGAGAATCTCACACCTAGAACAAAATTTCCATCTCCTTCGTCAAGTTGTAGCTCACCAACTCTCAATTCAGACACAGGGGTGCTGTTTTAGATTACTCCAATCCTAGTCAAACATGACTTCTAAATTTCACTGAAGTTATTGCTTCGACTGTATTTTGATTAATATACCCTTGAAAGGATTATTTGCAACTGATAAAACGGGTGGTGAGTGTTTGAATGATCAACTTGGTCCCAAAAGCATAGAGGGAATGCAGGAGCTTCATTTTCAATCCCCATAACTCAGAATATTACTTGCAAACACTTGTCTGAATAATGTCAAATTCATGGTGTTTACAGAAGTGCTTTCATCAATAACTCAGAATGGCTGATGATCATTGATGCTCAGAGCGACAAAACTGCGTCATGGTGATGCATCTGACTTTTGTTGGCCAGTGGCCTTCTACCCAGTTTCGTGAAACTATTCAAGTCACATCCATTTTCAGGACATCTAATCTTTCACATAGGCAGTACTCGGAATATCTCATGGAGCAACCTGATGATCCAAACCTTCGAAGGCCTAATATCCCGCTCAAGTGACACGATTACCGATTGATCCTCAAATTGCAGAACCTCTATAACATCACAGGAATGAGTCGGTCTCGAGACTATTTTACCAAGGGCAACACACGATCTGCCTGGAAATGACAGCTTGATGACTTAGAATGCACCCACACGGCTCATATACTCGCTTTTTCGCGTGTCCACTTGGATCATGTCCCCTTCGTTGACAAACAGCGGCACGCTCACTACGGCACCTGTTTCTGTTGTAGCTGGCTTCGATCCTCCTGTTAATGAGAAGAGCAGTCAGCAGATATAGGACAAAAACTTAGTCCTGTTCCTAAGTTCAAATTGCCGTTTTCTTCAAATTTTGGAGGGATAAGAAAAAGAAAAAAGAGGTAAAGGTGAAGGAAAACCTTGAGCTGTGTCTCCCTTCAAACCAGGATCCGTCTGTACGACCTTCACAACTACTGTGATGGGCAGATCTACATCAAGAACCTGCATGTCCACAACAACTTTTCGCGACGATTAGGTCATTTTGCACGTGCAAATAAAGAAAGCACATATCAAGCGCACAGCATTCCTTCTACACGAAGAAGAACAATGCACCAGAAGCGCGGACTTATTTGCAGACCATACCTTATCATTCCAGGTCAACACATTGCATTCCATCCCCTCCTTCAACCACTTCGTCTTATCCCCCAGTTCTTTGGCACCAATTCTGATCTCCTCGAATGAGACCTGTTTGCAAACGCAAGGAAAGATAGCCGAATCAGATGATCCTTTTTGACAATCTCGACAGCTAGTGTTCAGTAGGAAAACCATAGTATGTGATTCACCATATTAGATTGCCAAATTCTTTGTGCAGTGGGCGCGACACAGTAAAAAAGCGATCAAAACACGTAGATAATAAGGCCATGCTAGGGCAGACAAGAGAATAAGAATGCTGAACACGCCGCCAGGGCGTTGCCTGCAGATACAGTGGTTCCAACGCTAAACAACTAACTTAGTCATAATGAACACAACCAAATGCAACTTCATTAAATGGCCGGCACACTACCTCCGAAAACACTGGAGTATAAGGGACATACCATATCCATGAAGACGTATTGATCAGCATCCATGTAGGTGTACTGCTTGACTTCCTTGGAAATGCTTGCCTCATCAACCTGTTGTTGCACCATTATCGACATCCATTGTAAGTCATACCGTATCCTAAACAAAGAGATGTCCACCAAATCAATTATGTTCACGACTGCACACTTCAGAATTTTCGAATGAAACTCCGTTTCAAATGACCCCTTCTGAAAGCAACGAGGATCTGGAGCATTGGACATACCGACTCTCCCGCTCGGAAAGTACGATCAACTGTGTTGCCAGTGATATAGTTTCGCAGCTTGGTACGAACAAACGCTGCTCCCTTGCCGGGCTTCACGTGCAAAAACTCTTAACCACCACCCAAGTGGAAATTGTTAGCTCAAATTATCAGCACAACTCATAAGCTAAAAAAGCCTTCTCAAACCAACCTCTTCGTATCCTTCAATTCCCAATCTCAGATCAGTACGATGGGAACACTTCTACCAGATGCAGAGCATTCCTTTCAACTTTCTACTTGAATTGTGGTACAGTCAACCAATGTAAAGACTAAGGATGACACAAATTCTTCTATGGTTCATTTGAGGTATTTGCTACCGTTGACACATGAAGGATAAATTCTCGGCAGCAACAAGAGTGAGAAAGACCTTCATTGTACCTTGCACCCTCCACGGTACTCCATCAAGCACAATGTTGGTTCCATTCCTGAAATCGTTGCTACTCAACGCAAAGATCTCTGCATGTAAAACATCCAAACTTAAATATCAGCTTGCGCTCCACAAAGACCCATTCCTATCGCTGCAAGAAACACGACTTATCCAATGCAGAGGATACAGCATGTTACATACCCCAGTAGTTAAAATCGAACAAAACAATCAACCATACTCAGTAGCACGCTTCTTCTCTCAAAGCAACGCAGCTTTAAAGTAGGTGAATCACATTGTGTTCAGAGACCGTGATGCAAATGCGCATTGCGTTGGAACTGTCATCCTACTAAGCTGGCCGTCATCACACTCGCAAAAGACTATTCTCTTCCTTACACGTTTCGCCAGTCAAATATCAGGGGTTAGGACTACCGACGCACTCAAATTCGAGAGCTCGGCATTCTCGAACGGATAAAGGTAAATTTCAGCGCATTAACAGACTATCCACCACCAATTAAAAATTTCCATACACACCCAAAATCCCCAAACTACTGACGGGATGAGAAAGCCAAAGCTCTACATAAATAAACAAAAATAAAACCAACACAAACTGCCAATGCGCTTACAATATGTCGAATCACCCAAAACTACTGTCTAATTCCTCATATCTCGTTCAAAGACAACAAGATAATGCCATTACGAGCAAAGTCCAAATCTACGAAAGAATTCAAATTCAAGTAGGAATCCCATAGAACGACGAAAATAGCGCATACCCAGAGTAGAGGTCCGACGGGAAGACTCCACGCGCAAGCATGGCACAGTCAGTGCATACTGGCCGCTCCTGAAGGACGTCGAAGTGGCGGGGGTAACCGCGACGCGCGACGAGAGCGAGGAGGTAAGAGCCACGGAAGCAGCCATGGCAGCCATGGAGAAGGGATGATGAGTTGCACTACCCAAATTCACAACAGCAGAATGCTTCAGGCAATGGTCCCAATCCGAAGTTCAGTCGCAACAAGAGCTCACAGAACAGGGGAGGGAGCTTCAGGAGGGGATAGACCTCGACGCCCACACGACGAAAGTAGCCCGAGATAGGACGAAAAGCTCTCATGCGGATGAGCTTCGAAACCCATGATCTGAGACGCAGCGTCAGCAATTCCGGATGAGGCTCGCCATCGATGTGGGTGCTTCTGATAAACCTCGACGGAGCTCACTCCGACTCCGGCGCGTCCCCTCCCGATGTTTCTCATCGTCTCTGTTGTGGATTTTTCGTATTTCTTTTTCTTTGCGGTGTCGGATTTCGACGCTGCTCCACGATACCGTCGATGTTGCACGCGTCTTTCTTGTGTGCACCTCATTGTTGTCGAGACCTTTTCGAGCAGCTGCGGAAACGCAATAGCTTCGCTGAAGAGGCTGTGGCGTCGGTGGACGCTCATGTGTTTGTGTGGCGGTTGTTCTCGCCATTGGGACTCTCAGGTTTAGGGTTTAGCGGAGGATGCGTCGAAGCCCTAAAACCAGAATGCTATGGGCTTCAAGAGCTTTGGGTTCTAAGTTTGTGATGAAAATGTATTCTAATCAAGTGATAAACACTTACACACACCTCGTGGTTTTGTTCGGTTTTAGGCTCACTTTTAATATGTGGTTATTCATATAATGAGGAAGGATTGTTTCCTGAGAGATCAAACAAAAAGATTATACACTGATACGGAGTTCACATTTAGAATTTCTTTCATCATTGACTGAAACACTTAGTTGCTAAGTCATCTACTCAACATTCCGTCCACAACTAAATCTAACCAATTTGATTTGAAGTCTTTTACCACCATTCAAACATATTGATTCTAAGAATGTTTAAACGGCAAAAGAGTTGTACGCCAATATATTTCGCTTTTTTCCAACTTGAAAGGAAATGAACTCCCACACATAGACCTATTTTCGTTCTTTGGTTTCATTCCAATCCAAGATTGTTCGACAGATGATAAACATGTTCTTTCGCTTGTGGTCACTGTAATTCGGCAACTGCAAGTGAAACTTTCAGTAAGGGAGCATAGCTATCCAAGGTTCGAATTGCTCATCGATCCAAAGTAGGACAAACTAATTCTGATAAAGATATTAGGGATGTCATAATTAAATAAATGGTTTCAAGATTTTTAAAATGATCATCGCAAAACCTTCGTCGCAAGAACAAAATATGAGCTCAGCATGTTACCAAGTGTAAAGATGGCCCGTCAACGGCAATGTTACAAGTCGCTGTTAAAACGACTAAGTCGAAGTGCACTAAGATCTATCTCGTAAAACGAGAACGTGTACGCTATTCCAAGGCACGAAATCAAGAAGTACGCAGTGTATTACAAGGCGTCTAATGACTGCATAACATCATTGAGAATGTCTTCATAGTCCTCAACGCCACAGCTAAAGCGAACCAAATTGTCCTTGATTCCAATACGTGCTCTCTCAGCTGGGCTTTGGTCCCTGTGATGCAAAATGCTTACCATGATGAGATACTGAACCAATTGGCTGTTACTCCAACAGCGAGGGCATCTTAAACCATAAATTGAGGCGACATAATTTTAAGATTGCACTAAACACAAGGGGGAACAAGAGGAAGATTACGAAATACCACTACAATAGCCACAACTGGACAGCTCATATCCGTGAGGTACAACAATGGTTCATTTCATTATGACCACAAGCTACGTCAAAATAAATTAGGGGCGAAAACAGTACCAGTAAGATATGATGGTTGGTTGTTCAACCAGACTTTCTACTCCACCAAGGGAAGGCGCAATGTAAGGGATTCTGAGGCCATCAATAAATTTTGATGTTGTTTCCAGATCTCCATCTATCTGTAGCCGCAACCAACAAATAATACTTCATATATGATTACAAACGTAATGCAGCGGTGCACCACAAGAAAATGAGAGTGCAAGCCCCCACCCCCCAAAAGAAAGACAAGGAACAATATAAAATAAGATAGAATTCACACACGCACACACGCACACACACACACAAGATCCTTACAATCAAGCACCTAGAAAAAGGGTGTACAAATACCTCAAAACTAATGACACCGCCAAAGCCAGTCATCTGTCGCTTCGCAATCTGATGTTCTGGATGACTTTCTAATCCAGGATAATGTACACGTGCCACCTGCAAGCAACATCATGAATTATAAGACCCTATAGGTCAAGTAATCAACCTGACTAGAAATAGACTCCACGCAGTAAAACACATTTCAAGATCCAGTTCAACACACTGCAAACCTTAGGGTGAGCTTCTAGATTCTGTGCTAGCAAATATGCTGTTTTGTTCTGTTGCTTGACTCGAAGATCTAAAGTCTTCAATCCACGCAAAATTAGGTATGCAGCATTCTGTTCCAAAAGTAACAGACAAAGTAATTAGGGTACAAATTCTCTGTCAAAATATGCAGAAAAAACAGTTCAATCACAAGCACTCCGTAAAGAATTAGACATGTGAGAGTTACAGCACCAAGAATGCTATACGTATTTCACTGCGTAGCCAGGTACAGCCTGTTCGCACAATCCACAGCCATCACATAAATACAGCAGAACCGTTCTTCGAGTGAGAAGAGATACGAACACTTACTGGGTCTACAACACCTCCGAGAATATTGTGCAGAGCTCGCACAGCAGAAAGGCATTGTTTGGACCCGCTGAGACTTCCTGCCAGTACCTGAATGAAAAATATATTGTGAGAAATACACTATTCAAGTTTCTTTTAAGTAAAATACTAACGTAAAATAAGAGAGGCATTCACTGGGTGTGCTTGAAACCTACAATATTCGAAGATTACTCAATAAGTGCAAGAAGCATGCTGGATACTCACAAGACAAACTGAATCTCACAATACAAAAAGCTATGCTAACTATGGTGATCATCTATCAATGACAAATTCAAACAATTGTATGGTTAACCCACATCGTTGTGCCCGGCGAGGTACTTCGTCGCAGAGTGAAGTACGAGGTCGGCACCCAGAGCTAATGCCTGTTGATTTACAGGCGTCGCAAAAGTACCATCAATGCAGACGAGAGCACCGTGCTCGTGACACAGTTTGGATACTAATTCAATATCGATACACCTTAGGTAAGGATTAGTGGGCGACTCAGAAAAGAATATTGACACCTGGTTCATGCAAATACCTCCGTCAAACTCACGCTGTAATAAACTATGCATATCAAATACAGAACGGAAAATAAATAAACCGTCCATTGACAAAATTTGATTAGCTGCAAACAGTTAAAAATTACTATCTTCAAAATCAGCATAACTGTGTTACAAACATAAACTCAAAAGTAACGAGACATTAAATGTATTAAAAAAAAATTGTAAACCATGAGAAGTGATCAAACACCAAGTGTAAAACTTACTTTGTTTTGCTCCAGTGCATGCTGAAGAGCAGAAATGTCCGCAGGATCGATCACAGTTGTCTGAAAATGATGCCAGGGTTGCCAATAAATCAGATCAAATTTTATTTGTTCACGAGAGACTCGTACACAAAAGCGGATAAAAAGTGACAGCTGATAGTGACATGACATATCACTCTCTAATTCGAGGTTGATCTTAAAGCGAAGATCTGGGAACCTCTACAAGTGGTTATTTGTTCAACACAAAATGGAGAAGAGACCAGAGTACTGTGAAACAAACCAAAGTAGGACAAAAACCAAGATTAAAAAACTTACCGTGATACCCATTTTGGGAAGCACGGTCTGAATAAATTGGCGAGTCCTTCGATAACAATCAGTGGTGGTTACGATGTGTCCACCGGCAGGAACCAGTGCTAGAAGCATAGTGGTAGCTGCACACATGCCTGAAGCAGACAACAATGTCGTCTCAGCCCCTTCCAAAGCACTGCAACAAGAACAAAAGGCAGCGCCGTGTTACTGTCTGGGTTTTCACACTGACTATAACGTGCCACACAGCGTAGGCAATTCACAGAAGCTATAGGCTAACTGGACATATATAGCAATCCACCATACAAAGAATCAGAATGAACCTAAGCTTTAGTTCTTAAGAGGCAAACACGAGAATTCGATGTCAGAAACTATTCACCAAGTAGCAGAACCAACCTGATTTTCTCTTCCACGGCATTAGTTGTTGGGTTGCCATACCGCCCATACTCGAAACTAGTGAACGTTCCTTCCTGTTCCAAGAAAGTAAACTTGGTTATAACGCGGTAATTAAGCACTGTGATCAATTTTTTTAGTTCACAACATCCGTGGTCAGCGCTCTCCACAAACATCGGGTATCCAAACAAAGAAACAATCTTACACCAATTATGCCTGCAATTGTCAGTTGAGTTGCTCAAATAAAGTACCTGAAATGCAATCAACTCAGCTGTATCTTTAAACGTATAAGTGGATGTCTGACAAATTGGTATTGTCAAGGTATCTTGCACCTTCGGACGCCTAGTTCTCTCACCTGCAATAGAGTGCACGAAAACTTCAAAATAATTCAAATAATTAAGACTGACAAACACAACCTTTGGAGCACGTTACGGGATCAGAACTTAACATGAGGTTGTAATGTTACGATACGTCAATGGGGAACGCAAGCACGCAATCACATATCCTCTGCAATCAGGTTAGAGAAGTAAAAAAGAGCTTTCCTACGGGTTCGTCATCTAGTGAACAGTAACAGATGTGTTCGAAGTTCTATAAACCGAAAAGAAAATGACTAGTTAATTTCTTTGGGACATCACATTTAGTACGAGGTTTTCTATTCTGAAATGTGAAGGAAGGGAGACGCCGACATGATTTGATGAAATCATTCAACTCTTTAAGTAACTACTCACTTGAACCACACTTCACCAAATCAAGCTACCATTCTTTACCGAACACAGGTACTACTTGAATTGGCATTAATCACATAATGGAACGTGTCAGCGACGGCAGATTATCAGTTACTCCATTATTTCAACATGTAGGCTACAAAAACGATTTCGTACTGCCAGTTTCAAGAAAACAAGTCAGGCTAAACCATGTAAGATTTGGAAGTCTTTCGCAGAGCCACGAAAAAAGGCCACAACTGTCTGTAACAAAAGCCACTCACCACCATGAACAGCCAGCGTGCTTGATTTGCTCCGCCTGGGCTTCTCAGTCTCTGAAGCTCCTGCACTAGCAAGAGAGGTGCCAGACTCAAGAAGAGCCTCATTTGCATCTGCAGAAACAACGGCACTGCCGTTTCCAATATTCGCGAGCTCCGCCTGAGTCGATGACGTCAGCGCCGCCGCAACAGCAGCAGGATTGCTACGATCCGTCGCAGAGGCAGCTACGACCTGCGCCACACCAATGTTGCTGCAGTTGCGACGCGCCTTGATACTCGACTGGCGTACAAAATTCGGTGGAAAGCGAGTGATGCAAGGCGGGCAAAAGAAACCCTTGCGGGCGACATTCACCGGCACCTGCTCACTTCCTCCGAATCCGGATTTTCCAGACGCAGCACCTCCTGACGCATCTGGACGATACTCGTAGCCAGCACTCGGCATTGCTGACGCCGCCGCCTGCCCTATACACAACGCTGCAGCCATTGCTCCTCTCGCTCTCCTTCCCACGAACCACAAGCCTAACCTTCAGAGATCAAAAACTGCTCACACACTGCACCAAATCGGCAGTTATTGGTGTCGAGGGATACCTACTTAGATAATCTACACTTCTGCGCCTCACCGAATCTGGACAGAGCTATTGAAACAGCGGAATGAACACAGGAACGTACAAGAGCCGCGCAACTCGCCAAACATAAGGACGGTGACACTGAGATGCTGCGGGTGTTTAGTTGAGCTAACCACGGTTGAGAATCCTGTTAACCTCGGTCACAGAGGCTCCGCTCACATTAATCCTGGGTTAAGCGGCTACAGGTGCCTACTTGTGGCCTGTTCCCATGTTCTCGGCTACTGCGAACGCCTCTAAATAGTGTGCCCTGCTTCCGTTCCCATGCCCACGCTCCCGATCGCACGCCGATTCTGTCTCTTTAATTGCCCACCTCGCACCCATTCTCCCTTCTAAATCTCTCCTTCTCTGTATGTACGCACGTACGTGTGTACGTATAATAAATATTCATTTTTTGGAATGACAGTATACAATCCAAAAAGAACAAGTAAAACAAACAATTATTTGGGTGTTCTTTATAAAGTGAAATTCATGATTGAAAACCATGCATGTAGATTAAGCTCTCCTAGAGTCTTAAAAAACACTTTGGTCGTCTCTCAAAACACCAATCTAACCTCAAATCGTCATACTTTTATCTTTAACAAACACTATCAGGATGGTTACAAACCCAATTGATTGGATTTTTACTCTCACTCTTTGTTTTTTTAACCAGATGATGTTTAGGAATGGGTCTATTCGTCCCATTCTAGTGGTATAATCCATGTAAACCTTTGGGCTGGGGTTATTTTTCCTATTACTTCAATGTAAACCATACTAAAAAAATCCAAGTTTCTTTTCAAGATAGTAAAGAACTTAAAATTTAGAATGAGATAGTGATTGGATCCAACGAGTTACATTCTGCTAAAAGTAAGCTATTAATTATGTGTTCGAATTTTATCATTTATTTCGAAAAGATTTAAAAAAATCGAGGAACGACTCAGTCTAGTACATGAAGCCTAAAACCTGGCACACTTTACAGCGTGGAAGAACCCCCGCCATGTTCCCATTCACAGCTCTGCTGTTCTCCGCTGCGACCAGTAGAGAACCAGTGGTCACCACGGGAGTAGAGCATGTTCCCTGACACATCCGCGTGCCCAGTGGGGTTCCCCATGATCGGATGGTTAGATGAGATCCCAGTCAGGAGGCCATCCACACCTTCTTCCAGATCTGGCTTCCATTGTGACCTCATTTTCTGTAACAGACCAGATTCTTCTTGCCCACAAGCTACTTACTGCCCCCATTCTTTCAAGCCACTGGAACGCTTTCCGTTTATATAACAATGGAATATTCTATGTCAGATTCTCCTCTCTCTTTGACCACAGAGAACCGAAGCTGCCACGTGAGCCGGAAGTGCTGTGAACACAGCGTTCCATTCATGTGAACCTCAAGGGGTGTTGTTCCCCACAATCGATTGCAGCAAGTGTCCCCTTAAAATCAAGGAAGATGCATGAAGAAATTATTTACCAAAGCTATTTTAAGACGTCTCAGTTGTTGTTGTTCTTGCTCATCGAAAATTTAATAGTTTTTTAAAACATTTCAATACATAGACACATATGTAAATCACATTCATTACAAAATATGCCTTGAAATAGGGAAAATGCAGACATGAAACAATCTTGCAATTTTTTGATGACGGTAATGTAGTTTGTGCAGAATTATATGCACTAAGTGAGTCGATTTTGGTTCCAAGGGCAACTATGCCTCTCACCCAATATTTAGAAGGAAAAATATCATATCATACATATATATATATATATATATATATATCCCTCAAATATCTTGAAATATCAAGAACACCCATGTATTCTTGATATTAGCAAATGTACCATTTTTATATGTTAGGGTACATTTGCTATTGTCAAGAATGTAGAGCTATTCTTGACATTTCAACGTATTTGAGGGGTACATATGATATTTTCCCTTGTTATAAAAGGGATGCATAAAATATTAAAATTTAAGATGAATGAGTCATTCTAAAAATAAAATGTTTGCAGAATATGTAATACATCAGTGAGTTTTTTTCTTCAATCCCTTTTTTATTTTCAAATATATCAAAAGAACATATATAATTACACCAAATAATACTCCTTTGTAAAAAAAATGCACATACAACAAAAGTATTCTATTGTACTGTTCTTCAATACATTCAACATGCATACATGACATGCAGAACTAAAAAGTCACCATAGTTTAGAAACCAATATTAGAAAGTTCATATCAATATAGTTATAACTACATCCAAAAATATGTGTAGAATAGTAAGAATTGATTTTTTTTGAAAAAAATAATCCAACTTGTGACAGCTGACAAGGCCCACTCCATCATTCAACTCACACACAGCACTTCAAAATTAGAAGACCCCACCTCCAAGCCACAAAGTCATTCTTCAAGGAAGGGGGGGGGGGGTCTTTGTCCATCACCAAGGAGATAAAGTCTGGTTCCAAGTCGCACTACAGGGTCCTGAGTGGAGAGCCTTTTCCACACCTGGGGAAGAGAATCTGTGCAGGCAGGAATATTGTTCATTATTTAGCACATCCCACTTGCAAGGTGTTCATATCATGATGCAGTATTTAGGTGAAACTCCCATCTTCATGTCATAGATTTTAGCATGGTTCTTTCCAATCCATGTTTTTTCTTTTCTCTTCTTTCCTTCTGTATACACCATGTTTGATTTTGGTCCAATACTCCACGTTACAAAATTCTAATAATTTGCAATTTTTCAAAACCATTGTAGTTTTTTTTTTTGACAATAATATATATTTTTTCAGTTTGTTCTGAATTCTATTTTTACTCAATTGAATAACAAAAAAAACGTCATACTTTATCGTAATCTGTTATTTTTTAGAAAATGTTATAAAAAAACAATTTGTTCTTAGTGTACTTGTTCAATTGATAATGATTTAACTTGTTGTAAAGAAACTTGTGCAAAAAGATTATTTATTTATTTATTTATATAATTCTAAGGACATTGTCTTGTGTATACATATATGAATAAGCTGATGCTAATGTTATCATAGTTTTTACCACTACAACTTGTGATCCACCACATGTTATAGAGAATTGTCAATGCACACCACAATGGAGAAAGTGCATATTCTTCATGGATGTGTATTTTAATGTTTCACAAAATACATTATAGTATACAATGCAAGTTTAAGATGTAGTTGTAGTAGCAAAAAATGTGGTGACATAAGCAACACCTTATTTTATTTATATATATATATATATATATGCATATCATAAAAAAATAAATAAACAATGTGATGAAATAGTAAGTGTTGCAACCAATGTTTACTAAATCACTTCTATCATCAAAAAACAGAAAAAGGAAAAGAAAAATATATTCAATGTTGCATATAAAATGTATATGCTATTTTACAAAAAGGATAACTGTATGTACTCCTACTCATCTGCTGAAGTTGTTATGATTGTTTCAAATATAGTACTAAAAATTATACAAGAGGTTGAACTTTGTAAATTCTTGAAAAGTCATGGGATTCATTAGTTTACTATGCTATAAAGAAAACAAATTATGTTGTGCATCCTTATGTTTTGAATACACAACAGTGAGCCCTCTGGAGCACATTAGAAAAATGTACCATGCCATGATGCTTGAGCATTTTCCAATACATACTTGTAATACCACTAATAAACACAATACACATATTTATTTGGCAACATGATTCAAAATAAGGTATAATACAGAATAGATTTGAAAACTATTATGCATTCAAAATTTGTTGAATCTGGCATTAAAACAGCAAACATAAAAGCTTTTGTTGCATCCACATTTGATCCAAATTATGGAATAAAATATGAACACAAATTCATTACAAGTAAAATATTTTTGCTTCGAGGTAATTCCAAATAGTGTAATGTTTTACTTCAAATATATATTACTACATTTTATATCATGAATAGATTCTGAAACTAGGGGGAAAAAATGTCATAATGTTTTATTGAAACATGGATTATCAAAATATATAAAAAATAAAAAACAAAGAACTCATAATTGGAGATTTAAAACTTGTGAGGGAATTCATTTAAAATATTTTCAAAATAAACGTAATGTCTTTAATGATATGACAATAAATATATAATTTTTCCTATCAAATTCTTCCAAATACACTATACCTCTTTATAATTTTCTTGAACAAATATTCTTTTATGTACATTGGTAAAAACATTATTGTAAATATGATATGACTATGATATACATATATTACGGATATGAATATACATACATACATACATACATACATATATATATATATATATATATATATATATATGATAATGTGTTTTGAGAATTTATTTATAATTTTTGCAAACCAATTTAAATCTTTAAAATTGATATACATTAGTTCTAGGTGACCTTTAGATATAAATTTTTAAACATTGCTCTGTTCGAAAGTTTTTGTATCACACTTATATTATTTTCTAAAAATTGTAATATTAGTAATAACCAACATGATCTCTGTTTTTGGTTGTAGTAATTTTAAACTAAAACCTATTCTACATCTTAATATGAAGGAATATTAACATATCATATACATACAGATACATACATATATACATATACATATACATATATTCTCGATATGAAAGTTACAACACATTTTAATATTTTTGTAATGTACAATATTTTTTTTATTTATGTAATTTTGTATTATATAGTTGTTTGTACACATCTTAACTTAGATAATATCCAATATAAATAAAACAATTGGTACATAATTTAAATATTTAAAGGCCTATAATGTACACTAAAAGATGTATTCCAACATTATTTGGAAGTTGCTAAAATCTCTATGATTGACTACATTTAATTCAGATTAAGCACATAGTTTACACAGACAACTCTTATGAACAACTCAAAGTTAATGAAAGCTAAAATTTGAGTGCTTTTCATCTGAGTAATTAACATCTGTGAACTTAACACATAATATGTTATTTAAAACCAACAATGTGAAAACATCATCAATAGAATATAATTTTGACTTATTTCTACCTTGTTATTATTTTTCCCTGTAAACACTTATATTGGAAATAAAGAAATCTTTAATAATTATAATACTTAGAATCCACTTAAAACAAAAGAAAATATAAATTTTAATATGGATATACTTAGAGCTTGCTTAATAGTGTTCAATGTCCAAATTACTTTTGATAAACCCATACTATATGTATATTCTTTAATTTAATTCTTTGTTATTATCAAATCGTATAATATCTGTATTTTTAAAATTAAAATCATAGACTTAATAGTATTAACCTAAGGAATTATTAAACTTTGATCTTTTTTTGTGAGTCTAGACATGTATAAATTTTATTTCAACTCTGAGAAAAGTAATCAAAGTTGTAGTTACTAGCATTTAAAGAAAATAGACTTATATTTATTCTTTACTGTTTAAAATAACAACCAATTGTAAATGCATAGTTCTCACATGTACATGATAAAGAGTAACTTTTGTTTGGTTTAGAGGTCCTAAAACAATGGATGACAAAATTGAGGGCCTTGCACTAGGCACCTCAAATTTATTCAGTCAGGAATCAGAAATTTATAGCTTTGCACAACTTGGAACAAGTATTGATGATGTATTATTGTACAAAAACTTGAACAAGATCATATTACTTTTAAAGCAAATTCCTACTACCCAGTTTCATTTTGACAATAATATGAGGGATTTTTACCCATCTTGTGCTGTAATATGACAGCACATCCCAACCAAAAACCATCATTTGAAAGGCAGTACAATTTTTGTATTATAGAGATTGCTACTAGTTGTAGTGCATTTTATATTACTATATTTCAATGCATGCTCACCACAAGAAAAAGTATGGAGTTTATAGTGAATAGCATAGCATAATATCTCCACTTGCCAAAGGAGAAAAATAAAATAAAAGGAACCTAAACCACATAAACGAAATGTTGGAGAATAGAACTCGTGTACCCAAGGAAATCCGCATCTGATTACTAATTCAAATTTGAAACGTGGTGGTTTTCGACACCCATGTACACACGAGCAGTGCGCAGGGGTGAGGATGGAGTCATGGGCTCCAATAGGGTTTCGGCTTTCAAGGATGGAATCCCGAAGAAGCACACCGGCAATGTCCTCCGCCTCCTCCTCCTCCGACGATGACGGCGATGGTGACAAGCTGGACGATTGCTTCAACGGAGGAGGAGCTGCTGCCGTGCTGCGGCGGGCGAATTCTGCGATCCATCCACCTCTCGAGGGATTCGAGCGGCTGAGTGTTGGTTGCGTCTTACAAGGGCCTGACATTGAACGCGGACGAGGTTTCGATCTCATCGAGACGTGGGATCTGGTTTCATGCCTAGGGTTTAAACATTTTTGCATCACTTGCACGGCGATGGCGAGGCTTCTGTGTGCATGCTTCGAATCCATGGCACCAACGCGGCCTTTCTGTTGTTGAATGGCCCGTGCATTGTAGGCCACATCCCGTCGCGAGCGCCGGATGGTTAGTGGTGCCCTGTAATTTATCAGATCCCGGCGATCAACGCGTTGTAGCCCGAAAAGAAACCTTTGGTTATATCACCCCCCCTGGCTGATGAAGAAGACGCTTCGCCGCCTTTGTCAGCAGTAATTAGACAAATCACTGGGAACCTTAATCTCGAAGAGTTGACTCGGAGTTGGTGGAGACGTTTTGGGTTTAAGTTACACGAAAAATTTCTAGGGTTTGAGACGGTGTGTTGTTGTGGACTTGGAAGTATCTGGATGAGGCATTCATGGCCTGGATATTCTTTGTTATTTCGGAGGTTTGTGGCGGAAGAGAGGCTTGGTGATTGTGGAACATTATGCGGTGAGATTATGCGGCGCCTGTTTCAAGGTTCGGGTTGATGGCGAAGGAACTCAAAAATTGCGCAGATTGCAGGATGTCAGGAGATTAGGTCATAGCCAGGGTGAATGCGCTGGGCTGTTGCCGGGGTGACCCTAGTTGGAAGCGTTTTTCGGAACCCTTGCTGTTTCATCTGCAAGGATAGCACATCCATGCGGAATACTTGAGATATTTCGTAGAGGATTGTTTCGTGGGAGATTCTGCTGAATCTTTCGGTGCGGTTCTCGACTGTCTCGAGTCAGACGGTCAAGCGCCCAAGGGAAAGAATTGAACAACATAGCTTCTGAAATGGACGAAGATGCAGTTGTTTTGACTCAAAATGACGACAAAGTGGTCGACACTGTCGAGGATCGACTTGAAGGTCTTAATTTCTCAAATAATGATCCTGGCGAGGATCAAGAGGAGGGAGAACTTTCAGAGAAAGAAGACATGAATGAAGAAATAAAAGCTGCAGAACCGGATATTGAGGAGGATGTAGGAGTGAACGTCGAAGTTGCGTCGAAGAGAATAAAGCATAATTTGGACGATCTTTCTGGTCGAGCAACCATGGGGTTACGGGGTAAAGATGATTATAGCCAACGGAGTGGCACGGAAAATTTAGGAAAAGATAATGAAGACAACCTCTGGTTAAGAGATAAGATGACATTTAGGTCAGCTGCAACTAGCTACGCACCCAATTTGTATAATTTTGCATGGGCTCAAGCCGTGCAAGGAAATCAGGGCTTCAAGCTTGTCGAGAAACAGGACGGAGATGAAGAGGCAGATGCACTGCCAGACAATGGAGCAAGTTTTGATGGGGATGATGAAATGGAGGATGGACTTCCAGAGTCACTGGCCGATATGACTCTGAAGATCCCGGAAGGCTATGATATGAGACAAGTGTTGTATGATAGAAGGCTGATGACGAACGCCTCGTGGAATTCTAGGCTCGGTGATACTCGCAGAGAAAAAACTTGGATTGATTCTGAGGATGGCATGGATTCTCGACGCAGATTCGATAGAGATGAACGAGGAGGCAGTCGCAGTGGTGGAGGGGGAAGAAGAGAAATGAGATCGCCATCACGACGACGAGACAGTAGATCTGAGAGGGAGAGGGGGGGTGTGAAAAGCAGATTGTCTGAATTCGAACGACAAAGGGCTAGGGACAGGGAGAGAGAAAGGGAGAACGGGAGAGAAAGAGGAGAGAGAAATGATAACATTCTTCGTCCAACTTCCAGCGATGAATCAGACTATTCTCGCCGTAATGCTCCTTCAGGTGCCATTGGAAGGCAATCACAAAGTAACGACAATATTGTTGATGTCCGAGAAGAGGGAGAGATCGAAGAAGGCGAAATTGAGCTTCCAACCGATAACTTGAGGTCAAGGTCATCCTCACGAGAAAAATCCCAGGATCCTCGGGCAGAGAGCCTTATCGAAGACGGAATATCCAATGGCAACCTCAGGAAGTCACTTTCTTCTCGACTAAGTTTCAGAAATTCTTCTTCTTCTCATCCTCGGTCTTTGTCAAGAGAATCTAGCTTTCGACGTCTTCAAGACGGTGATTTACGCCACCGCCTTACAAAAGATGTCGAACGAGAAAAACCAAGACAGGACGTTCTGTTGCGAGAGGACCGGCGAGAGCAAATTGCGCATCTCACAGCAGTGATGAAGAGCGTGACTGTTAAGGATGCCCAAAAGTAAGAGACGCAATGACAAATATGTCTCTTCCTGTGTCTTTCAATCGAAGACGTGTAGCTTGCCATCTCTATCCATGATTGTCACGTTTACATGTGCCAACCAACTGCAAGAAGCCCAAAGTTGTGTTTCTTCCGCATCAGTAAAACTCGAACCAATCTGCAGTTAGTGCATTACTTGAACTATGGATTTGTCATAGTTGATGGGCTTAGAATGTGCATTCTCGGATTTTCTGACGTTAAATATATGGTTGACAGGGCCTTCATCAACACATGTCTTCGACTTGACAATGCGGTGAAAATACTTCAAGCATTTGCAATGCAGAGAATACCTTCAAGTGGGTTACCTGCGGATGACATACCTCGTGATCTTTCTAAGATGGCGACGAAGGTGTTTCAAGGACTAAGGGCTGTGTATGCTGTGAGTAACCCTTGCAATCATGTGATGTATCACGAGGGTTCTTGACGTACCTATTAGATGTATCATGCCTAGTGAAACCAATTCCTATGGCGTTAACCACCTCTTTCGAATCACTTCCTCAGTTCTGTTTATTTACTCATTTTTGATGTGGTACAGGTTTGGAACACAGCTAATGGAAGAGAACAAGAGCGCGATAGAGACACTTTTCCGAGGTTGGATGTTTTGGCAACTGCTGCCTTCAGCTCTTTATATTTTTTTGTGCGCTCTTTAATCTCTTCTGCCTTCTAATCTGCGTCATAACGTTGCTGAATCGGTTGTATCTTATCGGTTGCTCACAACAGGTTGTTGCAGTTTGTCACTGAATCCTGCCTGACATATTTCTCACCCAAACAAGCGCGAGAGGTAAGAGTAACAAATGTCGTTAGATTGATACTGTCCTTAGGCTTGATTGTTATGCCAGTCTTCACAGCCAGGAATAATGTGCTCTTGCAAGTGTGCAAAGGATCCCCGTTGGCGCAAGATGTGCATGATTTGGTATAGTATTCATGATTTTTTCGTAGGAATCTTCAGTTTGTCATCTGTAGAAGTTGATTCGGTTCAGCCCTACGTCTTGTCTAAGTTGGTGACCAAATGAAGCGTGGTCAACTTGACAGCTTGAGGTTTTCATGGATCATGTTACGAAAACGGCTCGAAAAATAAGAATGGAAGGAAGTTTATGGCATGCGCAAGCAGTGATGAAATCAGCAGAAGCTATGCAGGAACCTGGAGTTCGAGAAAGAGAGTTTGTAAATGCTTCGGTGTCAAACTCTAAAATGGCACCTAGTGGTGCAAGCACTCTTGAGGGTAATTCAGAACATAATGCAGACTCTAAAGATGCTATTGCTGAAGCGACTATTGCTGCTGCTGCCTTGGCATACGCCCAAAGCTCAGCAGCTGCCCTCGCCAACTTCACACACGGCAGCACTTATAATCAGTCCATGAAAGACCATCCCATCATTGGAATGGATCATTGGGCTTGGAACGGGTCAAATGGGCCCTTTGAGCGTTCTATGTCACCTGGACTGCCGCCAGGTTATTCAGGTGTCAGCCATGCTGGAAGGTCCTTGGTGGCTCATGGAGCTGTAGCACATATAAACAGCAGTACTAATTCTCACGGAGTTGCCGCGAGACCTCCTAACACCTCAGCTAATGGATGGATTAGCGCTAACAAGAAGTTGGCGTATGATGCGAAGTCTCCTTATGGGCCTGGTTTCCTAGAGGAGGATTGGGAGGAGTTGAGTCCTCCTTCACAAGCTCCTGCTTACGAGTTTACTACCCGAAAAGTTGTAAAATTAGATGAAAGAGGGTTTTCAATCTCAAGCTCTGAAACCATCAATACATTTGCGCCACCAAGCAAAATGGGCAATCTACCTGTATCCGTCAACTTTCGTTTGGCAAGCCCTACTCCTTCGGATGGCGACGATGATCATGAAAATCAAAACACAGCTTCAGCTGGTGTAAATGGTCAATTGGGGCATAAACCCCTTCACTCGCTCCCAAAACCATCAAGCTCAATGCCTCCAGTTACTTCACCTTTTTACAAGACTTCGAATACTCATGTTGATGACACAGGACGCGTGCATTATGCATCAGCTCCAATGGTCTCTCCTGCCTCTGTCGACCAAGAATTATCGTTGAACTTCGAGCAACCAAAGAACCAACCAGTCTCTGGTCCAGTTTTGTCGTCCCTACGGAGTCGGGACCCCCGCAAACAGCTACAAAATGGCTACCTGGAGGCGGAAGGATCTCTGCATCAGTCAACTGCCCAAATTAAGTACCAATGGCCGTCAGCATTACAAACTATGGACAAGAAACGAGAAGGAGAAACTTACGCTAATATGACAGAACCATCTAAACGGCTCAAGCTTTTAGGTTCCAGCAATGGGATGCAGAATGCAAATTTATTTGCCAGTACGTCTGCCATCGGTGGTTGGTTGGATGAGGGCGCTGTTGTATCGGCTGGTCACGAAAATCATGGTGCACAATCTATGGATATTGACTTTGATAGCCCCACTCCTTCAGAGAGGAAACACTGTTTGAAAGACGAGTTCCCAGGAATGAATTCGAATATATCCGAGGTCTCGAGTGCCAGTGGATCATTTGAAATGTTAGTCTCAGGTACTGCAGCGAGTACACGGGATAAACCCCCTTCGGATCCTTTCACCAGTAACTCCACCAATCCAGAGGATCAGACTGGAGAAGAGGTACTTAGTCAATCTGAAAACTGTGGGGTGGCACTTACACTCAGGATTTGTAGTAGAACTTTGAGCTCAAGGCTTATATGCAGGGCCATTCTTCTGATCTCTTATTAAGAGTTTAAGGGTCACATATCTAAATTCTTGTATGAATGTTCGAAGCGGCGTCTAACATGTGGTTATCATTTTGGTACCAAATTAGCAGGATGTTGGCAGACACCGAATGAGGCCTCGAGATCCACGCCGCATTTTGCTGGAAAATGCTGTAGAAACTGCGCAAGTTAATCCCATGAATGTTCCAGTTAACGACGCCGCAGGTTCTGAAATGACCCTCCAATACACAAATCGAAGCCCAGAAGTTGCTGACGTTTCACCTAATTTGAATAATCAGCCATCAACGAACACCTTGGGAAATCCACCCAACCAGAGAGACCCCCGCTTAAACCCTTACGAAAGTAGCCAGTCAGACAGTGCCGTTGTATCTATACAATTGTCTACTGAACACAAAACAACAGAATGGAAAACTCTTGATGAGAGAATTAAGGAAAGTGAAAGAGATTCTAATAGGAACCAAGGATCTGAAGTTTCCTCTGGAGAGTCCACTGGAGACAAGGGAGATCACTTACATCCTTGGGACCCTCTGTTGCGGAAGCCTCGGTTTGGACCTAGCCATTGGGGTGGTAACGATATGCATCGTGACTTTGAGCAACTACTGGAAGACTTAGATGAAAAGCAGCGCATAGCTATCCAAAATGAGAGGAAACGACGTCTGCAAGAACAAGATCGGATGTTCATTGCAGGGAAGCTTTGTCTCGTTCTTGATCTTGATCACACTTTACTTAACTCCGCCAAGGTAATGATCACTACTTAATGCATGTGGTGCAACTCCTCATCATAACAAAGGCTTGATTATTGCTCCACTACCTAGTCAAGTCATACAAGAATTTTATCCGGGTTTATTCCATTGACAAACACTTTCGTGTAAACTTTATTTCATAGAAGGCAAGAAAAGTGGGAGGTAACGTATTGGCTTGTGTGGTAATTAATGGCTTGAAGTTGCGTAAAATAGTTTTCAGAGATTGAACCAGAGTGGGAAGCACGCCTACGACAAGCTGAAAATATGGAACGGAGCAGGGCCTTGAAAGATCCAAGCATGAAACAGGAGTTATACCGATTTCCGCATATGAGCATGTGGACGAAGTTGCGCCCTGGAATATGGAAGTTTCTTGCAAAGGTCTGTAGTATTAGGCGTTGGCATGGTTGCAGCAATGCCTCCTGTTCCTAATTTCACAATACAACACTGAAAGGCTTTTTTTTGTTTTTTATTTTTATTTTTTTGTTGAGTAATGAATTTTAGTAAGCTTTGGTAGCTCTTGATTTTGGTAGCTACAGAGCTAGACACTGACATTTGATATGTGGCTTCTGCAGGCAAGCGAATTATACGAGTTGCACGTGTATACAATGGGCAACAAAGCCTACGCGACTGAAATGGCCAAATTGTTGGATCCTACGGGAACATTATTTGCTGGACGAGTTATCTCGAAAGGTGATGAAGTTGACGGTTCGGACAAAAGCAAGGATCTAGATGGTGTTCTGGGCATGGAGTCTGCAGTGGTTATCATTGACGATTCATCTCGAGTGTGGCCACACCATCGGGAGAATCTCATTGTCGTTGAGCGGTATGATCTCGAAAGAAGTTTTTCAACTGCATCACTATAGAAAGCCTCAGGAATCGAGATCGTTCATGAAGCCTAATTTGTATGTTTTCTCTTACAGATACATGTACTTTCCAAGCAGTAGACGACAATTTGGGCTCCTTGGTCCATCACTTTTAGAAGTGGGTCACGACGAAAGAGCAGCAGATGGCATGCTGTCATCAGCTTCGGGGGTTGGCTTCTGAACTACGCTACTGCTGTTAATTTATTTTTGAGATGTGCTATGCTGAACATGGATTCCACTCTTATTCGACCTTCTCGTGATGTGATATGCAGGTCATAGATCGAATTCATAAGAACTTTTTCAGTAATAAAAGACTACGAGAAGTGGATGTTCGGGCTATCCTTGCTGCTGAGCAGCGAAGGGTGCTCGATGGATGTCGTGTGCTATTTAGTCGCATCTTTCCTGTCGGAGAAGCAAATCCACACCTTCATCCGCTTTGGAGGCTGGCTGAGCAGTTTGGAGCGAGTTGTTGTCTCCACATCAATGACAAGGTCACTCATGTAGTTGCCATTTCACTTGGCACTGATAAGGTATCTTTGATGACATTGGACTTAGACGTTCCCTAACTTAAACCATTTCAAATATGGACAAATATTTCATGAAGAGTTTCAACATACCATATTTGTGATGTCTCTTAATTGTGATCTGCTTTTGCAGGTGAATTGGGCAGCTGCAACTGGAAGACCTGTTGTTAGACCTGCATGGTAAGCTAGACAATGACAGTGTTTTTCTACTCGTTATTTTCAGATGATTTGTACTAATGGTGGGAAGGTGTGCAGGTGCTTGGTTTTTGAAGTTGAGCTGACGTTTTGTTACCACACTGCAGGCTGGAAGCTTCGGCAATACTGTATCGACGTGCAAATGAGCAGGATTTTCCAGTCCTTCCTTAGGGCATGAATTTACTTACCTTTGGTACTTACCCCACTTACCTCGCAAACCAGGCCCCCATGTCCTTTGTTGCGACCCCTTCATGCAACTCCTGATAATCCCATCCTTTTGTATACCATATGCCCTATTCGTGCGGCTGCATCAACTGCGGTTCGCGCAAGGTAAAGTATCTTCCAAATAACTGAGCAGGTTCTCCTTCGTAAGGAATGGATGTCCTTTAGCTTCTCTTCAGGGTACGTTGTACAGTCTGACGAAGAGTAGGGATAGAGCTTCTCTGATTAGGTGACTAGTCACATGCCTGGAGTCGTATATAAGAACTGCGCTACAGCAGTAACTCAGCCCGACCATACCGCATCCCATTATTTCACTTTCCTTGGCCTTAAAACATTTTCCCCAAAGTCTCGGGAAATCCCAATTCCATGTTACCAATTTGGCGAAGCCCTTGTGTTCGGAAGGTATTCTGCACTGACAGCTGCATTGAAACTATCACAAGCTTGGCCTCGCGCAAGTTCTGCAACTGTCCTGAATGGCCTTGACTTTCCTCTTTCCTACCCTGTACACACCTTGATCACTTCACAAAACTAACAACACGCCGCAGAATTCAATCTCAAGCGACTTGTCGAACACCACAATCTTCAATCACTAGGTCTCCACCACTGGGTTTCAATGTCTGCTTGTTTTGATGGTAATGTGCTTACGGCATTATTTAAGTGCCATTGTTCATTTATCATGCGGCTGGTCATTAACCCTGATACTTATGTCTCAACAACGCTAGAACTTAATAAGACGAAATGTAACACTTATCGTCGATTTCCCTTCCGTGAATGAGCTTTCAATGCCTTACGCGGAGACAAGAGGCGCTGCTTGGGGTGCGCTTGGTAACTTTTACCCACTATCGATTGCTTTCTGTCTTCACAAAGCAGTGTTCTTTGAGGAACAGAGCGACCCACTTTGTGTCAATGACCAATATGCAAAATCTGTTTGTGAATAGTCACATGCTAACGCCTAATATTACTTTGGTTGGTCTTATCATACATGTGAAATTAGGTTTCTTGCACACATGTGTCTGCATATACAAGAGATGATGTTTTCACACATTAGAGAATGTTATCGAAGGAACACACACCATGGTTTGAGTAATGAATTTTATAGTAGTGTTGAGGATGAAGGATGGATTCGGGAATCAAGCTACACAAACAGATAAACATGGCATATAGTACAAAGAAATTCTTGCATAGCTAGAATTGTTTTGAATGTGTACATTAAAAGATGTAAACTCACAATAGAATAAAAATAAATGAGCGTTTTTCTTAAAAAAATATAAAGAAGTAGAATGTTTATTATTATGTACAAAGAGATTGGAAGTTATGAAACAAGCCTAAAAATACACTATAAATATTATATTTTATAAAAACTTTTAGAAGAAGTTCTAAGAATTATAGAATATTTTATAAAAATAAGAATGTTTTATGAGGACTTTAGAAGACTGTCAAATCTTAGATCATTACAAATTATCATAGAAGTTTTAGAAGATAATTGGAGGCTCTCAGAAATTTATATGTAATCATAAAAGATTCTAATCTTAATTGGTGCTTTTTAAAGAATCAAGAGATTCTTAAAGATGAATAGAAAATAATAAAAATAGTTATAAGATTCTAAAAGGTACTTGATGTGATAATTGGTTGTATACTTGTCACAATTTTAACTGCAATTAAAATTTTGTTCAAAGAATATATAGTAACAAACAATAATATGTGTAGATGGCTTTGTACATTTGACAAAATTAGGATTCACAATATTATTTGAAAAACATTAGAATATGTAATTATAATTATTATTTTGAAAAAATATAAAATTTTATGTTTTAAACAAGTTTAGTTCTCTAAAGTCTTTATGCACAAACCGTGTGATGTAAGAATACATTTGTTTTTAAAAACAAAAACAATGTTGTAATCAAAGATTTTATGGATTTTTTTTTTTTTTTTTTTTTTTTTTTTTTTAATTTTTTTCCATGAATAAGCATTAAGAATATTTATTAAAGTTTTATTTTGAAATATAAAAAATCAAAAAATTATATGCCAAATTAAAAAATATCTTTTAAAATTTAAACAATGTATAGACTGTTATGTTTATAATTAAAATATGTTAACCATATTCAATTAAAATTAACAAATATATTTTTAGTATTTTTATAAACTAATCTAAATACATGTTATATTAATATATGTTTAAATATTTAAAATATCAAATAATTTACAAAATATAGGAAGAATAAAAGATTCACAAAGTAATTTTTTTTATAATAACTATCATTATATATATATATATATATATATAAAGATAATACTATTTTAAAGCATGCATAAGTATATATATATAGGAGAATGATAAAGCGACCCACTCTATCTTAACCATCATTACATCATTACAACTCTCATCCTTATTCTCAACTATTCCCTTTTTCCAACTATTACTAAAGATGGAGACATGGGGTTGAGAATGTTGGAAATGAGGGCATTGGTTGAGAACATGTGAATGGCTGGGAACAAGGATGGGGTTGAAAGGGTACAATGATGGTTTAAATATATGAGTTGATTTAGTTAAAATTTGGGTCTCTTTATCATTTTTGTATATATAGAGAAATGTTAAATAGACCCAAATTTTTATTAAATCGACCAATCCATTCTAACCATCATGAAAAAATATAATGACATCTAGATTCATTTCTCCACTTTTAGATGTGCAACCAACAAAAATCAACCACATTTATCATGATTACCATATTCTTCATGAATTGTGGGTTTGTTGAGTAAAAACATGGGTCTATTTAACATTCCCTTATATATATATATATATATATATATCTATATGTATTCTAAATATAAATTTTGCAACTGTAATGGAGAAATGCAATAGATTGGCAATCATGAATTTGACATGAGGCAACATCAAAGCATAAAAGTCAATCCAGGCATCATTGACCACGCATGGGGTCTGATAAGCCCAACTTCAAAGACGGGGCTTGCTTTCTCATGACTTTTTCATGAACGGCGGGACCTCGAGAAGTCTGTCACCGTGGCACCCTAGCATCGATGAATGTCGAGAACAATCAAATGCGGATAATTTTCATTCATAGTCGAGCTGAAACCCTAAATTGTAGTCGAGGCCAATTCTTTCGTGTTTCTGGGCGCTGAACGAGACAAAACCACTGCTCCGATTGCTCCACAATGCCGCTGCTGAGCCCTCGCAGCATTCAAGCGAAGGTGGAGCCAGTGGTGTCTAGTGGTGTCATGATTCCTGTCATACAACCCTAGGGAATGATTCAGTGGCGAATGGACTCATACCCCTCATTGAATACCAATTGTGGCAGAGTCCTGCGAACAGCTGTCGTACACCACGCGTGGAGGTAAATCAGCCAGAGGATCGTGGCTAATCGTTATGTAGGATTGCGGATATGCGGAGACCAGGAGCTCTGAATTGGGTTTGGTTTTTCCCTTTCTAGAGATCCCATCTCTCGATTGGATCAATTTAGGTTAGGACGATTCGTCACTCTGAGCATCGTATCGTTTTTGCTAGCAGGCTGGTTCTGCTCATTTGAATTCTGAGACGTTCGGTGCTGTGTCGCACTTGATTTGTAGTTGAACATTCGGATACATTTTGTTCGGTGAGGTTGCGGAGTGTCTTCCTTATTGTTTTTGTAATGTAAAGGAGGGATTTTTATTTTTATTCTTATAATGTGGTGTGATTGGGAGCTTAATTTGATTTTTGGGGGTTTCCCAGCTCTTACTTTTTGAGAAGTATCTCAGTTTTTGATACTTTGAGGTTGATTCATGTCTAGAGTTAGGGTACCTACCTTCACTTCTCTGGGGTAAGGATTTGTCATATGAATTTTGATTACAGTTTGAAGTGCGGGACATAGATTTGGTTTCTCTTTCTGATCTTTGATCCGGGTAATACGTTTTGGCCAATAATTTTGTGTATTGGGACTGTGGCGTGGGACGATCTTCACCTTCCAAGGTGCTGGAAGGTTTTAAATCTCGTGTTTTTTGTTTTTTTTTGTTTTTGTTTTTGTTTTTGTTTTGTTTTGTTTTGTTTTTTTTGAGTTACTCTATCTGCGTAGATTTTTGTTGAGTGTGGATAAATTCAGCTGTTACCCAGTTAGGTTGTAGTTGAGAATCGTGAGCAGTATTGTTTACTATATTTTATTGGTTTCAGTTGCATGTTATGTCCACATTCGATTCTTTTGTTAAGTTGTGGTTAAGTGGTTGCAAATAGGACGAAAACTTGCAAATACCACTACTTTTGTGATTTTTCTGGTGACACGAATTTTCAGGTAGTGTTTCTGTGGACCACCAAGCACAACAGTTTCCTGATTGCTGTGTGATTGCATTACAAATTCTAATCCGTTCTCAGCTGCGCAAGAACTGGAACAATTGTAGAAGTCCACACGAGCTGCTTACAGTATTTATGGCACAATGTTATCGATTGGAAATGCTTGTTAATACTTGGAATTAAACTGGTTGCGAGTAGTTTTCTTCTAAAGATTACGAGAAGCAGATTTTGGCAATGATTGTCTATTCCATCCCGTCTTTGCTATGCTTTGTTTCCGTGACAATGAAAACTTTAGCTATAGTATATTTTTGAAGCTGAACATGACAGTTCGAAATATTCCTAGCCTTACGGAGCAAGGCTTGTGCAGGGCTTCAGAAAGCATACCAATAAGGTACAATGGAGAACGTTGATATGTTTAATGCAGCGACAGCGACACTTACCTTTCATGATTTTTTGGATCGGATGCGCCATCCTCAAGCTGTAGATCTTGTTAAGTCCATCAAGAGGTAGTACTCCTATCCTGTAGATGTTTTCAATATGACACTGTTTTTATCCTCAAACGTTTTAGCTAAATCCTTTTTTCCTTTGAAAGTTTTTGTTCAAGTCTCTCGCTGTGTTTTGTCACCTTTTCCATTCCTCGGGAATACTTATTCAGTTTCAGAACTATTCCATACTTCAGCACATTATCATATTGGATTCTAGTTTATTTTCAGTTGTGATTTAACTCACAAGGCATTTCGTGGATTATTTAGTCACGTTAGTGATCATGAAATGGATGCAGCATACTCAGTGTTAATTTGTCTGCGCCTTGAACTACTTGTGCAGCTTTATTGTAGAATTTATGAGCAGGACGCCTGATCCTGACAAAGACAGCGAGAGTGTTCAAAGTTTTTTGACTACAACTGAGGGTGCTTTCGGAGCCCATCCTCTGTTCGTCAATGCAACGGATGAAGAGTTGGACAGTGCTGGGGAGGTATTTTCCCACTATCTTATTCAACTTAAAGTCATATGTAGTAGTACATGGTATGCAAATAGGAAATACAGATAAGAATCAGTACTATCTCACAGGTACACAAGTTGATTTCACTGTCTAGGGAGATTTTTTTAGCTAGATTGGAAACCTTACATGCATTCCATGAAAACAGGCTAGAACGTATTATGTTCTCGAAGATACGTAC